AAACGTTCAGGTCATCATAGATGGCTTCGCTGCGATGGGATTCCCAAACTGCGGTGGGGCTATAGATGGAACTCACATCCCTATCAAGGGACCGGACCACCAGGCCAGCCAGTACATTAACCGAAAGGGCTACTTTTCAATGGTGCTGCAAGCACTGGTGGACCATAGGGGACGTTTTACAAACATCAACGTCGGATGGCCGGGCAAGGTTCATGACGCTCCTGTTTTCAGGAACTCTGGTCTGTTTAGACGGCTGCAGGAAGGTATTTACTTCCCGGACCACAAAATAACTGTTGGGGATGTGGAGATGCCTATAGTGATCCTCGGGGACCCAGCCTACCCGCTAATGCCCTGGCTCATGAAGCCCTATACAGGCGCCCTGGACACTGAAAAAGAACTCTTCAACTACTGTCTGAGCAAGTGCAGAATGGTGGTGGAGTGTGCTTTGGACGTCTCAAGGGGAGATGGAGAAGCTTACTGACTCGCTCTGATCTCAGCGAAACCAATATCCCCATTGTTATTGCAGCTTGCTGTGTGCTCCACAATCTCTGTGAGAGCAAGGGGGAGACCTTTATGGCGGGGTGGGAGGTTGAGGCAAATAGCCTGGCTGCTGATTACGCCCAGCCAGACAGCTATGCGATTAGAAGAGCCCAGCGGGACGTGCTGTGCATCCGGGAGGCTTTGAAAGCTAGGTGAGCAGGGTAACCTGTGACTATTAAGTTTGTTACATACCCCGTTCACCCCGTTTCCCCCCTTCCAACACACGTTTAAAAATAAAATAACTGGAAATTTGTTAATGAACACCGTTTTCTTTATTACGGTTTTCGCGGTAAAGTGTTGAAACTGGGTAAAGTGTTGAAACTGGGACGCAGACTGTGGTGGGGAGCGGGTGTAGTGTAGTGATGCAAAGGACGCTTCTAAACTCGAGGAATGACAGGCTCCTGCTCCTAGAGCGGTCCGCACTGGTGGACTGGTTGTTTCAACGGAGCCTGCCACCCCTCCTGTTCGGGACTCTGTGTGTGGGGGCTATGTGACTTTCTGGCAGGGGGAGGACGGTTACAGATCCCCTGGTGCGTGGCTCTGTGATCCAGGATAAGGACCGCAGCATAAGATCTCTAACCGCCCTCCCCCGCCACAAAGTCACATAGCCCCCCCCCACACAGAACATGAAAACCACCTCCCAGAATGACCAGGGTGCCTAGTGACTGCAATGTGTGTGTGACCTGCTGCTGAACCTGCCCCCGTGTCTGTACCCTGGTAAAGGTGACTGTCCTGTCCAATTACCAACCCCCTTCCCCCCCTTCAAACACACTCTTCTCTAAAAGAACATGATGGAAACAGTAATTCACAGAAACGTATTTTTTATTAGCAACAACACAGTTAGGGGATAAAACTGGGACGGGGGCTTGGGTGAGTTGGGAAGGAAAGGACTTATCAAATTTTGGGGAATGACAGCCTTCTGCTACTTGAGCAGTCTGCAGGGGTGGAGTGACAGTTTTCACGGCCTCTGCCGCCCCTCCTTCTTGGGACTTTGGGTGAGGGGGGTATGGGACTTTGTGGCGGGGGAGGGCGGTTACAGATAGACTGCAGCGGGGCTCTGTCCTCCTGCATCCAGTCCTGCAGAACATCCACAAGGCGCCGGAGCGTGTCCGTTTGCTCCCTCATTAGTCCAAGCAGCGTTTGAGTCACCTGCTGGTCTTCCTGCCGCCACCTCTCCTCCCGTTCGCTGTGTGCTCGCTGGTATTGCGACATGTTCTCCCTCCACTGGGTCTGCTGGGCTGCCTCGGCTCGGGAGCAGCCCATAAGTTCTGAGAACATGTCCTCCCGTGTCCTTTTCTTTCTGCGCCTAATCTGCGCCAGCCTCTGGGAGGGTGATGCCAGGGTAGGTCAGGAGACAGTCGCAGCTGTGGGATGGGAAAAAGGGAGTGAATTCCTCAGAAAGATAATTTTTTTTGTGAACAAAGAACATAGTCTTTCTCTGTGAACAAGACCATGCACAGCACCTATCACATGCGCACTCAGGACAAGGTCGAATTTTCGGCCTTCGCATTCAGTGCCTGGGGTCTTGCAGTGCAGATCAGATAAGCGGGGCAGGACAGCGGAATTTGGGTAGCAGGCTGACATGGTAAGCCGTAGACTTGTGGCTGCTTAAAACTTAAATTATAGCACTGCCCTTCTTTCACGTTCAAAGCAATGCTCCTAGCGTTGGCCAGTTCCTGCTGCCAGCAATCCGGCAAGCAAGAACTCTGCCCCTGTCCCACCCCCTCGCGGCTGTCCCCGGGAAAGATCCCTGTATGCTGCCCCTCTCCCGCCTCCACCGCGTGGCTGTAAACCGCCGGTTACAGTTCTGTAAAGGAACTGGCAAGCAGTCCCAATACTAACATTCCCCTAATTCAAAGCAGGTCACCATGAGCGACATCACTCTGATGAGGATTTCTGAGACCAAGAAAGAACGCATGCTTCATGAAAGCCTGCAAAACCAGGGCCGTATGCCGCCATGCTCTGCAAGGCAATGATCCCGGAGTACTTGCTGATAGCCTGGCGCGGAAACGTTTCCTACTATGGAGGACACAATAAGGCCGCTCTCCCAAGGAACCTCATGCAAAGGCTTTCCAATTACCTCCAGGAGAGCTTCGTGGAGATGTCCCATGAGGATTTCAGCTCTATCCCCGGACATATAGACCGTATTTTACTGTAGCTGCACTGGCAAGGACTAAACAGTAGAGCGCCTAGGGCAAACCAATCATGATAAACCGGACATTGTTAGATTTTTTGGCAGTAGTTGCACTGCCAAGGACTAAAACGTTAAGCGCCTAGGGCAAACTAATCATGAAAAACCCACTGTTAATATTCCTGTTCTGTTCAAAATAAATGTTTACATGTTTAAAATACTTACCGACTGATCCTTCCCCTGATTCTGGGTATGGGTTAACGCCTGGGGATGGTTGGTAGGGGATCTCTGTGAGGGTGATGAAGAGATCCTGGTTGTCTGGGAAATCAGCGTTGTAAGCGCTGTCAACTGCCTCGTCCTCCTCATCTCCTTCCTCATCTTCCCCGTCCGCTAACATCTCCGAGGAAGCGGCCGTCGACAATATCCCATCCTCAGAATCCACGATCAGTGGTGGGGTAGTGGTGACGGCCGCACCTAGAATGGAATGCAGTGCCTCGTAGAAACGGCATGTCTGGGGCTGGGATCCGGAGCGTCCGTTTGCCTTTTTGGTCTTCTGGTACCCTTGTCTCAGCTCCTTGATTTTCACACGGCACTGCGTTGCATCCCGGCTGTATCCTCTCTCTGTCATGGCTTTTGAGATCTTCTCGTAGATCTTTGCATTCCGTCTTTTCGATCGCAGCTCGGAAAGCACGGACTCATTGCCCCACACAGCGATCAGATCCAAGACTTCCCGATCAGTCTATGCTGGGGCCCTCTTTCTATTCTGTGATTGCATGGTCACCTCTGCTGGAGAGCTCTGCATCGTTGCCAGTGCTGCTGAGCTTGCCATGATGTCCAAACAGGAAATGAGATTCAAACTGCCCAGACAGGAAAAGGAATTCAAATTTTCCCAGGGCTTTTCCTGTGTGGCTGGTCAGAGCATCCGAGCTCGGACTGCTGTCCAGAGCGTCAACAGAGTGGTGCATTGTGGGATAGCTCCCGGAGCTATTAGCGTCGATTTCCATCCACACCTAGACTAATTCGACATGGCCATGTCGAATTTAGCGCTACTCCCCTCGTTGGGGAGGAGTACAGAAGTCGAATTTAAGAGACCTCTATGTCGAACTAAATAGCTTCGTTGTGTGGACGGGTGCAGAGTTAATTCGAGTTAATTCGATTTAACGCTGCTAAATTCGAAAAAGCCTCCTAGTGTAGACCAGGCCTAAGAAGGGAAATTGAGGTGAGGGACTGCAGGCAGGGCTGCCATGAGACCACCAGGGGAGCTGTGATGGGGCCACATGGCTACAGTTACTTAAACACTTAGCCTACTTCCTGGTAACTTTCAATGAGACTTTACCTCCATGGCTTTGTCAGTTTCAAAACTAAAACTTTGGCAAGTTTACATAGTCCTGCAGTTTGGACTATGGGGATATAGAGTGCAGTGCGATGCTGTAACTCCCTTGGTGGAAAGGATGTTGCAAGCATGAACAAGAGTTCCTAGTTCACATTCACATTGTCCTCTTCAAACAGGACTACATTAATATGAAGTAAGAACTTCAGGACCGCAGTGTCCATGTGGGGGAATTATAGTGTGGCACTTTGGTGCACACTGCTATCCACACCCGTCTACAGGGCCGGCTTTATGACCTCTGGGGCCCGATTTGAATACCCGGCGGTGGTCCGGCTCTTCGGCGGCAGGGGGTCTGCTCTGCATCTTCCGTGGCACTGAAGGAGCCCCTGCTGCCGAAGACCCTGGAGCGGACCCCCTTCCGCTGCCGAAATGCTGCCGGAGCGGACCGCCACCGGGTGAGCCTAAGGCATGGGGCCCTCTTACCTGGAGGGCCCGATTCTGGGAAATCGGGGGAATCATCCTAAAGCCGGCCCTGCCCGTCTAGTCTGAACCATTTGCTGTGTCCAACACCGCATTTGCGCTTAAGCAGTACAAGAGTGCAAAAGAGGGAATGAAAGGGGCAAAAATATATTGCATGGTAGCCAACTGGGCGCAGTTTTAGTGGGGGGGGGTCCTGTTGTGCACCGCTGCACACTGCTCTCCCCTGAGCTGCAAGCAGGCGCTGTAGCGTTATGCGCATACTAAGGGATCAGTGCATCGTGCTCCCATAACCCGCCTGCGCCACCTGGGCCAGCCGCTTCTAGCGCTGGCTGTGGGGGTAGATGGTTGGCTGGCTCGCGACAATTATGTGCTCCGCACATGCGCAATGAGAAAACGTCGGCCGACTGCTATCGTCTGCGCATGCGTACACGCACCTACATAGCGGAGAGCATACGCGTTGACGTGCTACGCGGACTGATGGGAGGGGTGGAGTTTGTTATCGCGAGTTTTGTGGGGTAAGCCTAGAACTGGAGCCGAATTTGAACTCGGCGAGCGGAGCCGGAGCCCCGTTGCGGGCCGGGCCAGGTAAGCGGGAGAGTCCAGGGGAGGGAGCGCGCGCGCGCTGGCAGGTGGAGGCGTTCCCCGCCCGGGGCCTGGTGGCGGGAGGGTCCCTCCCGGGGTCTGCCCGGTGCCGTTACTATCGCCTCCGCGCTGCTGCTCTTCCCTGAGGGCTGGTGTCGGCGACCGCCGTTAGCGTCCCCGGACTGCGGGGCGGGGTTTGGGTTGTCCCCTTCCCCAGACAGGCCGGAGCTGGGCACACGGAGCCCCCCTTCCCCGGGTGGGGGTCGGAGCTGACGGTCCTTTCTTTCGTTCTCCACTCTTCCCTCTGCGGAGGCTGATGTGTGGCAGCGGTTGAACCTGCCAGACTGTGCAGTAGACTGAGTTGTGTGTGTGTGTAGAATCATAGAATATCAGGGTTGGAAGGGACCTCAGGAGGTCATCTAGTCATCCCGGGTTCGCTGTCCCGGGCTAATGGGGGCGGCGGGAAGCGGCGCGGGCGAGCGATGTGCTGGCCGCAGCTTCCCGCCGCCCCCATTGGCCCGGGACGGCGAACCGCGATCGGCCGAACCTGCCGCGTCAGCAGGTAAATAAAACTGGCCCGGCCCGCCAGGGTCCTTACCCTGGTGAGCCGTGTACTGAACGTTGCCGACCCCTGATCTAGTCCAATCCCCTGCTCAAAGCAGGACCAATTCCCAACTAAATCATCCCAGCCAGGGCTTTGTCAAGTCCAGCCTTAAAAACCTCTAAGGATGGAGATTCCACCACCATGGGCGGCAGTTTTGAATAATTTTTGGTGGTGCCCAAGTGGATCCGTCCCATCCATAGGACAGACCGGGGCAACTGCCCTGGGCCCTGTGCTTTGGGGGGCCCCTGCTCTTCAGGGGGACATGGGGTCCAGGGTGGGGGCCTGGGGGATTAGCAGTGTGCCTGGTGCAGACAGCAGGAGCAACCCTGCTCTGCTCCATCTCTTCCCACCCTGCCCCCACTCCTCCTCTTCCCTGAAGCCCCCTGCCCCTGAGCAGTGCCGGGAGCCCGCGAGGTGGAGCGGAGTGGGCTGGGGCCAGGTCACTCGCTGCTGCCAGCACCAGCCCCCTGCTAACTCCCCAGGCTGCCCTGGACCCCGTGACCCCCTGAAGCACAAGGCAGGGGTAGGCACCACCATGTTGTGCGATGAACACTTGACAAAATTACTGGACTTAGTGACGAACATTGGGGGCGGGGGGGTATTATGTCATTCAATCATTCAACCCATAAAATAGCACATATTTTGCCACATTGGGGAAAAAACCCAGTAACCTAGCTAATAATAATAAATTCAATTCATGTAATTAATGAAAAGTGTGTATACTGTATATACGATTAATGAGAAATGAAAATAAGCTTGCTTTGGGATTTTACAAGGCACTTATATCATTTAAACACATTTGGTACCTTGAGTAATGATAACATTTCTTGCAAATCACATAAATAGGAAACCCGTGGTCCCCTTCCCTTACCCCACTGCAAAGGCACAGAGGTTATTGCTGGCTGCCCTAGGGCTGCAGAAAACCCTATGGGCAAAACATATGGAAAGAAGAGGATCAATTTATACAGAGGGTTGAAGGGGACTATCATAGTGCATTAATTAACACTTAATAAATACATCAAAATTAAATACATGACAGACTTTACTTCATGAGAAGCTCAAGAGAAAGAAGACCCAGAGGGAGTAATGGTAGGGGCAATCCCAGGGAGACCAAAGTCTTCCCACTCTGCCCTGTGGGTGGAAACACTGATAACTATCACTATAGGAGGGAACAATAGAATGGAATGCCCAGAAGAATGAATGACTTGAGGACAATTTCCTGAAGGGACCCTTACTCTTACAGAGCTTTTCTAGCTCTGACATTTACATTTCTACACAGGGTGGTTTGGCCCACAGAAATAAAAATCTGCACATATTCCATGTATTTTTGGACCAATAGCAAAAACCAGGTACAATTCAAGTGACTCTTAAAATTGCCGAGTTATGAAACCGAGTTAACAAAATAAATGAGCTTATGAACAATCAGAAAATATACTTCTCAAGTGAAAAAACTATAAATGGACTTCTTTGCAAAGAAATTGTAAGTTTTCTTACAGGAAAAGCCACAAACTGTCGGGAAAGGAAGAGTAGATTAATTTCACTGAGGCAAGTAATTCAAATATCCAGAGAATTGCTGTGGCTGTGGCTTCCCCTCCCCGTACTGTGGAGGCACAGCCAGGCAGGTCTGCATCTGCAAGCAGGCACCCTGCCTCAGGTGCAGCTCCCATTGGCTGCGCTGGCCAATAGAGTGGGAGCCTCCTGGCCAATGGGCTGGGGAGGGGAGAGGCAAAGGGGGAGATTGTAGGGAGCTCTGGAGCAGGGGAGGCAGTGTGTGTGTGGGGGGGGAGGGGGAGTTGTCTGGCACAGAGGGGGGGCTCTTGGAGAGGGGTGACAGTGGCACAGGGGCTGTTGGAGGTCTCTCGGGGGGGCAGAGGGTTGTGTGGGTCTCTGGGGTTGGGGGGGAGTGATGGATGGAGCCAGCTGCAGCCCACGTCTGCTCTGCGGGGGGTGGTGGTGTTGCTATAGCCCCCTCAGGAAGCCCCCCTCTGTACTGTGTATTTTATGCCAGCCCCGGGGTGCCTATTGCTGCTCCTTTCCCCCGCCCCCGGCTCCATCTTTCTGTCCCCACAACCCCCTGACTGTCTGTGTGTGCCTTTGAGAGTGACAGACTTCTGGGGGTCTCTCTGCCTGCAGCTGTCTCCCCCTCCCTGCTGTGGAGGTGTGGCCAGGCAGCTCTGCCACCGCCCCCTGCAGCTCCCATTGGCCAGGATTCCTGGCCAATTGGCTGGGAGCCGGATCTGCGCTGGGGCCTCTCTGCAGCACGCAGGGACTCCGGGGCTGAGGGGAGCTGCTTGTGGGGAGGCGCCCTTGAGGTGAGAACACCCCACATTGCTGACCCATGGTGCAGGGCCCCCCAAAGCCTGGGGTTTGGGACCCGGGGCCCAAACATTGGTGGAGCTGGGCCCACCTTCATGAATGTTGGTGGAGCATGGGCATCACGGGCCCATATAACTTGCCTCCTATGTCCACCACCTCCCTAGGTGACCCATTCCAGTGCATCACACCTTCCTAGTGAAATAGTGTTTCCTAATATCCAGCCTAGACCTCCCCCACTGCAACTTGAGATCATTGCTTCTTGTTCTGTCATCTCCACCACTGAGAGCAGCCAGTGTAACCAGTGACTATCTTAGAAGAACATTCAGGTTGCAAAGTCGAGCCCTCAGAAGTCAGGGAATGACAGGATTCACGTGTCAATTGCAACTGTAATTCAGCCCTCTTGTGCATATTTATTATTACACAGTTTTAGGTGCCCACATAAATTTTATAAGAGACACCCTGGTCTTATTCAGTGCATGGGATGGGAGGTGTTCCCTGAATGAATTATCTTGGTTGTTCGATGTGTGACCTTATTTACTGCATATTTGCGATTGTTACTATGGCTGCTCAGTGCTACTGGAAGTCCGACCTTAGGGTCTTAAGTTGGGTACCCAGAAAATGAACACACAATTAGTGACCATCTGAAAAGTGTGGTTTAAGTGATTGCCTAGCAAGCAACATGGAGGAACTTAGTGGCAAAAGGCAGGGATAGAATCCAATTTTGTGGACAGCATTCAACTACTCTAACCCTGTGATTATCCTTTCTCTTCCAGTAGTCCCATACTTCATTCACTATGTCTTCTAGCTGTTGCAACAAACGAAACAGACAACAGCCTCCTGTGAAGTTGAGGACTTTGCAACCTTAATAATGTTCTTTTAATGTATTTTTTGTGTACTTTCCTAAGATGTTAAAAAAACAAATGGGGGGCGGGGTAGGGGGGATAACAGATTCCTTCTTGTGGTATCATACTGATAATCTACATGGTTAATTAGCCTCTTTGTGGACCCGCACTAGAGAGGAATGGGACACCTTGACTGTAGTTTTTACAGATGTTTGCTGACAGCAGAGGTGTGGTAAAGACTTGGAAATCTTGAGTTCTATTCCAAACTCTGGAAGGGAGCATGCACTAGTGGACACATTTTTCTGTCCATTTCCCCAAGCTTGACCACCTCTGCCCCATCCCAGTCCTATCTCTATCCCACTACTGGCTCCTTGTCCTAGTCTCCGCTTTTTAGCCTTCTGTTCCCAGTTCCAGTCTCCTTGCTTAGTAAGCCCTAGGTTCACCTCTCCATATTCCCTATCTTCTTATTCTTGTCCAGCCATTCCCAGTTGACTCCCCTGCTTCCTGATGTTTCTTGTGTACTGCATTCCTTGTCCCCACTAGCTTCCAATCTCCCTTTCCAGACTTCTCATCTTATGTGTTCTTGCATGCCCCAGCTCCTTGTCCCAGTCTCTTTACCCAGCCAGTCATAGTTCACTCCCTGCACCCTGGCTCATTGTCAGATCTGTCTCCCCTTTCCTCTGGCTCTGCATCTATTCTCAGTTCTGTCCACCCACCAGCTCCCTGTGTTGCATCAATTTCCTTCCCTGGCTCCCAGACCTAGTTTACTGTCAGCTCCTTATCCCAATCTACTCCTGCCCTGCAACCCCATACACTTGAATCTAATGGCTTTCTCCTCCACACTGCCTGGGTGGGAGTGGTCATAGAGAGCATAGGAGAAACAGACACTCTGCTGTCAGCTGTAGTGCCCAGCCAAGAGAAGCTATTGAGTGCTTATAGTGCCAGGCTGGAGGGAGCATAATCAGTCACTTTGTGGGTATGGCATCTGTGCAGTTTTGTCATTTGCTGGAGCTATGAGGGAATGGAGTATGCTCTGTGGTGTTAGGGGGCTTATTCCTTCACCCTCTCTCTTTTTTCTGGTCCTCGCATGAACAGAGAGCAACAATACCCGAAGTCCGACCGTGCAAACAATTCAATGTTTTTATTGGGGTGAACTTCCAGCAAGCATGATTCCAATTTCCTTCCTCAGTGTCCCCCTTCCCAGCTCTGACACCACAGAGCCTTGCCTGTGTCCCTGTTCC